CAGGTGGCTCCAGGACTCCCTGGGGAACTTTAAATGTCCACAGTACCCAGTGAGTTTGCTGAACTTCCCGGGTGCCTCTGCACGTGGTTCGTGAGTCAAGGTCTCACAGTCTTGGTTAATCTCACGTCTCACTCAAGGGGCTTGCCTATCACCTAGAGAATCTCTTCTAGGCAGTCAGGTGGAGCTTTGGACAGAGGGGACTGTCAGGCAGACCCAAGGGCAGGCCATCTTTTTTTATTTTTTAAAGGTGATTTATTTTTCATCCATAAATGAGCAAAAGAGAAAGAGGCAAGAGATAGAGACAGAAAAAGAGAAGCAGCATTCCCAAAAGGGTCCTGCTGCTACCCCCAGCCTCAGCCATTCCCAGATCACGGGCACATGCCTGCATAGGGTACTTGAGGATGTCTCCAGATGAGAATTAGAACCTTCCCATGTTGTTCAGCATCACCAAGCATCGTGTTTCACCTCTGCTCCACCGTCCAGCTCTTAGCTACCCTCGCTGAGGTGAGGTCCTGGACTCCTAAGACTGGCTGATGCCTTCCTTCTCATTCTGGTTCTCTTGCCTCTCATGATCCCAGCTAGTCTTGGGCTAGGTAGACATGGAGAAACACTGGGGAAATCAAGTTTTGGAGGAAATGGGAGGCTGTGCTCTGGTTGCTCTTTCCAACCTGGTGGGATCTATGCCTGACAAGCAGACGACCATCGCCACCATTCTATCCTTCTGCTGAAGGAGAGCAGTGCAGGGTCCCTTAGAAGAAACATTTCCATGTGGGTGATCAAGGATTCAGTCAGAGTCCAATGGAAGCTGTGAAATGGCTCTCTTCTTTTCTTCCCACCACTGGTCAGCCCTCCCGGTACCCCCTCCTGTCCTCTTGTCACAGTCCTCTCTGATGTTCTGCCCTTCACTCACTCTTTGTATTTCTCTGGGCTGCTGGCTCAGGCTCCTGTGAGTGGACTCTGGTCTTTTGTGTCTCCACGGAGCCACGGAGTCTATTGGTGAGTGGGCGCAGACAGGCATCCCTCTTGGAGGCTTTGGGCCGTGCCACGGAGAGGGAAGAATGGAAGCCCCTGCCTGGCATGGCCTTACCAATAATCATGCAAGACCAGCCATCTTTCTCTTGCCCATGTCCATCATCCCCGCACCCTAAGCTATTGTCTTCTAGCACTTTCTCTTTCTCCATCATATCAAAGACCAGTTCTATGCTCCTAACTGGGCATGATGCAGGAGCTCTATCCTGCCACGCAGAAACTCAGATGTGGATCCTTCTCAACCCAGTGCTTCTTGAGCCT